TATTATTATTATTATTATTATTATTATTATTATTATTGACGAGCCGGGACACAAGAATCTCGCCCTGCGGACACAAGGAGTCATTTACAGAACTGATAATGCCGCGTTTCTCTCCTTGCACAACTGCACCTGAATCTTTCACGGACAGACACAAGCCATACTGGACTATACATCTCGGTGTGCGATTCATTACATAAAACGCCTTTTGTTGCTATCTCTTGTCGAAAAGCCGTATTTCGTTATTCACCGTGGGTCAAACCATTACGCGCCGGACCCTGTCCTTTGACGAGGACCGGCGCTTTATCCAGGGGCGACTCAGACTTGGGACACTTTCACGCAGGCGGGCAAAGACCGAGCCCGACCACAACGTTGCTGCTGGACTTCATCCTGCCGAACCCCGGGCAAAGGTCTGGGATTAATGCCGGGGATTCGGGGCCGTCCTGTAGGCCTATAGGCTGCCCTCGAGTGCATCGCTGCTACAGTTCCTCTCAGAAACAGAGGGGATAAACTTCCGCTCTCCGGCTGGTTCTTGAAGATCGTGTGGCGGCGTGGGTCTCCTGCGCGCGCACACACCGCCTCTCCTCCTCCTCCTCCTCCTCCTCCACTTTGCGGTTTCTAAAAGGTTTCTGTACACTTCCCGCTCAGTCACTCGAACTCTTCTTTCTCGCTGTGTCTGGGAAAAAAAAAACATCCGTGTGTCACTCAAGACTCCCCTGGGACGGAGGGGGGCGGGAGCGGGACCGCAGGGAGAAGGTGAAAACGCAGAGCCGGACGCACACGACAGCCCCCCTCGGCAAAGACCGGGGCCGTGACGAGTTACACACCCGGCAGTGCCCGGTTATAGAGGCGGACACCGCTGCGACTCAGATTTACCACGTCAGCAACAACAAAAACAACAACAAAATCCGAGAAAATAAGTGAAAAGGGAACGAAAAAAAATCGAGATCTGTGACAACCAGCTACTTCGCCGTTGAATTGACGATAAGAAAGGGCGATAAGGCAACGGAGAGGCTGGCTGTCTCAGGGGATTACTGAACTTTTCGGTTGCCTCTGTGACTGAACAAGGCAAAGACAAATAAGACCAGCTGCAGTTGGCCTATTGTCGAGTTCACAATCAGTTCACAATCGATGGTGTAAATCAGTATAGTGCCCCCTTATTACACACTCTGGATTCATTCCTCCGGAACTGTGCGTAAGGCAAAAACCTTCGGAAACTACATTTCCATTCCTTCCTGTGTTACACCCTCTGGTTGGTCTCAGACCTCAGAATTATTCCCTAAGACACCCGACGTCACCTTAATACAGCACAGAATGGTAACTAAGTAATAATATTCCTAGTTAATTATTCCAGTGACTTGCTTAATGTCATTAGCTGATCCAGATGTATGAAGACATTAGAACTCGCTCATTTTCAGTGCAGTACAGTAGAGAATGCTGTACTCTGTGCACTTAACACACACAAGCCTTCGTTATTAAAAAAAGAAGTTAAAATAGAAGAAGAAAAAAAGCAAATTCCTCATCCAAAAAGATGCAGGCAAAGCAGAATCTCGATGATGCTTTACAAGATCTCAAGATCTCAGCTCGTTAGAGTGAAATTTTGCTCTTTAAATGAAAACACAGATAGGACCGACTACATCTCCTGTAGTGAGGCCTGACTGCACACAGGGGTCTTACTGAGGTGTCAGCAGAAGGACATGAAGGACAGAGAGGAAAGGTGAAAATAGTACCGAGCTTCCTAGAGGGCTCCGCTGAAGTTTCAAAATCACACACAGCTCCTTCTCACCATGAGATAGAAAAAACACAAAAATGCCTTATTATCCGAGAATGAAGACCAACATAATCCATTATTATATAGTGGGAAATAATAATAAAAAGCTGTGTTATGTTGTAGCTCTAAGCTGTTGTATAAATCAAGGGGTGGATCTGCAGTCCTGGAGGACAACAGTGCCTGAAGACTTCAACATTTTGAACAGTCTAATTGATCTGGTTATTGGCTTAGTGGCTGATGCATTCCACTCCATTCCACCGCAGGTCTTAGTTCCAGCTCTTCCTTCATTATTGAACAGACCTTTAGAACCTGGACCCCATAAGAAAAAATACGATTACATGCTAGAACAGTTCTATGTAAAAGTTTGGACTGGAGGAGTCCAGGTTACGTGTTCCTGGTGTTTAGCGTGCTGATATGAACACACTTTTGAATCCATCTCTGCTGCCTTTCCGATCCACTCCGTTCCAGGATTTTGCAACAACCAAAAAGCAGTTAAGGAGCTGGCTGTGTCAGAGTTAAAAAATCCCTATTTCTAGGAGCAGATCCCCTGAAGATGCCCACACCCCATTTCAGATTATCCCCCACCTCCACCTTCCAGTAGTGCCTCCCTGAGATGAATCCCACTTAACCCAACACACACTGATGGACAGTTAATCTAGTAGATGCAGAGGACTGAGGCACATCAGACAGGACTGCGCGTTTCCCATCCTTGGAGATGTTCAGGCTGACGTGGGCTGTATCAGGGTCCAGGACTACATCAGATGGAAAGACAGAGAATGACAATAAGGAAAGTGTCCTATGCTTAAAAACTAACTTTATATTTGTGTTAATCCTTTGAGAAACTGGAAGCGTTTTAATATTTAGGACATTAGGTTTTGAGATAATTGAGGGCATTGTGGTTTTGAAGGAGAGTCAATAACACACACTCTCCTTCTTATGGGTCTTGTTGATTGGAATACGTGATGCATTTTTAATCCATTTCCACAATAGGAGAGAAAAAAATAAAAAACAAAAATGTTATTTTTTTAAGGGGTTAGGATACATCAATCCTGAAAGCGATTACTAGCTCCCCCTAGCTCCCCCGTAGTTCGCACCATGTCTACAACCCAAGAGCAGGTAAGAAGCTGGCTGTGTCAGAGCTCTGCAATGGAGTGGAAGAGATGGGCTGCAGTTTCCCTAGCTTCATTCATCTTTTGCGTTTAACATGAGGAATCATAAAAACATATTCTACTGGCATTGATTGACCAAGACCTCCACAGTAATATATTCTATTTCATTTAGAAGGCAATTTATCTCCTATTTTTGTCCTTTCATAGGCATTAAATAAGAATTTGACAGTAACAGTTAAGGTAACAGTCTGGGGTTTTAATGGGTGGTTAGAAAGTTAAGCTGTTGTGTAAATCAGACATTAGTGCTTCATGTTGAAGATTTCAAATTTTTTAAAGACCTAAGTGATCTGGTTATTGGCTTAGTGACTGATTCATTCCACTCAATTCCACTGCAGGTCTTTGTTCCAGCTCTTCCTTCATTATTGAACAGACCTTCTGCCCCTGGAACCAATAAACCATTAACCATCAAGGAATCGATAGCATGACTATATAAAGACTTGGACTGGAGGAATCCAGGTTACCTGTCCCTGCTGTTTGTTGTGGCAATATACTAATAGAGACCTTTGAAACCCTGATGCGGGATTACCCGACCTGTTGCCCTTCCGATCCACTCCAGTCCAGTCCAGGATGTTCCTACAACCAAAGAGCAGTTAAGGTGCTGGCTGTGTTAGAGTTCTGTGATGGGGTGGAAGAGATGGGCTGTAGTTTGCCCGCCACGTAAATCTAGAGATTATTTAATCCAGAGAAGTCCAGTCCTGCTCTTGGAAGGCCAGTGTGTCTCCAAAGTTTCAATCTATTTCAGCTTGCCATTTCATAATTTAGAATTGCAAATTATGTTGTCACACCCAACCAACTGTGTGTTTTTGACATTTCAGCACATAGCTGCGACCCTGTGACCTATGACCTATGACTTGTGACCTGTAACTGCACACAGAGAAGACAGACACTTCTTCCTTTAAGATACTGATCTTTTAACATGTGACAGGAACAAGAAAAGACCCTGTCACCCCAGAGTGTAAATGAGCCCAGTTGGAGTTGGATGAAGAAAGGTCACAAGACGGGGAGTAGACAGATTACAGAAAAGCACTGAGCTGCCAAGCCATATAGAGTCTTCTAGGTGAGCATTAACTATTACTGGCTTGTCCTGACCACTTGTTAACCTCTTTCACCTCTAAACAGACAGAGCAAACATTGAACAGAACCAAATCTCCAGGACCAGAATCTGCCATTCCTGATTTAGATATGAAAATGTAGTATTTTATTCACAGCTATATTTGCACAAATATATAAAGCACAAAGTCTTCTTACAGTTTAATACTCAGACTCAAGAACAGGAACAAGGGAAATGTTCATTTTGCTTTCTGTGTAGAACAATGGGTAGTATTTTTCTGTGAAATGTACATTAGCTGTGTAAATGAGATTTTGAGTCTCCACTTTGTAAAATGACAGCTGCCCTTCCTCACAGTCTACATAGACCCCCACTCTCTGTGGAAGCAGATCCTGAGATAATAGTGTTCGGGGTTCGGTAATGAAACTAAACTTGGTTTTACTCCACCGCTCCACTGCCCAGGCCCCGTTCTCAGGTCTAAGGTATGTATTTCTAGGAGCAGATCCCCTGAAGATGCCCACACCCCAGTTCAGATTATCCCTCACATCCACCTCCCAGTAGTGCCTCCCTGAGATGAATCCCACTTTACCCAAAACACCCACATTGACAGTAAATCTTGTCGATGCAGAGGACTGAGGAACATCAGACAAGACTGCACATTTCCCATCATTGGAGATGTTCAGGCTGACGTGGGCTGTATCAGGGTCCAGGACTACATCAGCTGGAAAGAAAGAGAATGACTATCAAAACAGAGGCCTATGCCTTAAAAAGGGAAATTACTTTTCTATTCATAAATTCATTCTTTGAATTGATTCCTTAAGAAATGGCAAGTGTTGAGTTGAAGAGAAAAGATGTTAACTCATATGATACAACAACATATTCAACTAATAGTATATTCTCAAATCTAACATTGTCCAATTAAATGCTTCTGAAGAGTGTATTTTGGTAAGTTTATAAAAAACACCGTACAATGGCAGACATTGATTAGGATACCTGATGCATTTTGAATCCATTTCCACACTAGGAGAAAAAAAACAAATTGTTACAATAATTTATTTATGTGTAAGAATACAGTTTTCCCCGCCAGGGATTACTAAAACACACACATATCATTCCAGGACATTGTTCTAGACCAGGGGTGGGCAAACTTTTTTGTCTGAAGGGCCACATAAAATTTTGAAACTGTATAGAGGGCCACTTCACGCTGCTTAAATGCCCCCTGTAACTTAAGAATCCAACATAGGCTTATTAGTTCAAGGTTAACGATAACCTGAGAGAGAAAAAATATTTTAAATATAAAAAATGAAAATTGTATAAAACTTGACGTTCAAGTCAAGGTCCTTCTTCGATGACCTTGACTCGACGGGTAATGGTTCTGCGTGATAAACTTAATTTCTCAAATTTGTTCTTGCTCTCTGGACAAAGAATATCTACAGTTTCTATCATACACTCCTTCAAAAGCTCCCCTTCAGACAGCGGCTTGCTTTGTTTAGCAATTTTATATGACACACTCTGCATTCACTGCCAACTTTCTGCTTCTTCAATCCACTCATTTTGGCGCAGGATACCTCACAGTACGATGGACCCACTCTGACTGGTGAATCAAATTGGTAAAGCTGGGGTTCCAGAACTTATTGGGTCCGTGCCTCCCTTGACCTGTCAGATTTTCCAAGTGCCTCCCCTGTGTCACAATTACAGTCTGTTCGATGGCAGTGCGATATTTTTCAAAAGATTATACATTTGAAAAAGAAACGATGGGTCAAAATAAAAACAAAGTTGATCCAATTTTGATTGTTTTTAAGCGTTTTCAAAACCAATAGGCTTGATCGAAACAGTATAAAAATACTTAACACATTTTCTTGAAATTATTTGAAATATGCAAACAATTTGAAAACATTTAGAAAAGAGTCAACATCTTTGTAAAATGCTAATAAAATGACTTAATAAAAATGTAAAACATCAATGTTTTTTTAAAAAAGGGGGAGAATTCAATGCCTTTTTGTCAGTGCCTCTTAATGGGTAGGTGGGCTTGTTTAATAAATCATGTTAACGTAACTCACCAAAAATACCGGGTAGTATTTTTTAAATGGCAACGCGCATCTCCTTCTCAACATTGACTCTTGATCTGAACTTGTGCTGAAAACCCAGCCTCACAAAGGCAGGATATTGCAAAGGGAAGCAGAATTCACAGAGCTCTGTTTCTGATTTCTCGGTACTCCAATAGTACGAGTTTTTTTGCATTGTGCTGCTCGGTACGCTATTTTGTATGATGAAAAAAAGAACTTTGCTGGGGACTGTAGTTTGGTTAGAAAAAGCAGCTTTCTGCTCATTCATTAAACTTGAGCAAAAAATACTCACTGGGCTTACTTATCAAACTACTGTGAACAGTTCCCAAATGACGTTTCAATTTATTGTGGATCAGGCTCTCAGCAGCCAACACTTTAAGGCAGACAACACACTGAGGACATTCTTCAATTGTGCCCTCAATTGTACATGTAAAACTGAAATTCAAGAAACTGTCGTCATACTTTCTGTTTTTGCGTTTCCGTTTCTCTTTAGACCTACAGTAGGCTTCATGTCCTTCACGTTTTTTTTTTGCTCATATTTGAAAACCTCTCCCTTGCGATCGTGTAACAAGAAACACACAAAATGACCACTCATAAAACATGAAACACCGAAGCCATGGTCAGCTGCTTACAGACTGCCGACTCTTGTGGCCAGTGTCATGTGACACAATCTAGCTCGGTAGCCCGCGACACATACATACTGTATACAGAAAGTATATGATCTCTTTATACATATAATCTATTATCTCCTCTCAAAGGATAGGAGAGTACATTCTAAAAACAACAGAAGAGAGGGTTCATCTATGGTTAGTGGAGTTGCCATGGGCACCAGGATGGGACAATATTTTTGTCGGCTGGGTAGAAGAATGCTTCTTTGCTTCCTATTCTGGCTTTGTCTGTGACCTCTACAAGCGTTGCATCGATGACTGCATTGGTGCTGCTGCGTGCTCTAATGACCAGCTAGAGCACTTCCTGAATCAATTCACTAACTCTCACCCGTCCCTCAAATAGACAGTTAACATATCTTCCACCACTCTTCTGTTTCTAGACATAAATGTATCTGTTATCCATCCACGACTCTCATCCTCAGTCTATTACAAACCCACAGATTCACACTGTGAATCTTTTTTCATGAACAGAGGATACCCCACCCATGTTAGCAATAGGGCTCTCACCCAGGCCAAGGAACTCCCGGTCTCACAGCCGCATTCCTCCGGTGCTTCCCTACCACTCTAACACACTTTCTATCCCCAGGACCATTATTAACAACTACCCCATTTTACAGGGCGATCCCTTCAGCGGTACCCTTTTTTCAAACCTCCCAATCATCTCATACTGTCGACCACCCAAACTACGTAAACTTCTGGTTCACAGCTCCCTTGTCCGCACTCGGCCATCATCCCCACCAGGCACCTTCCCCTGCAACAGAACTCACTGCATCACCTGCAAATACATATCTAACAACACGCTCATTCAGGGTCCCTCAGGTCAATTCCAGATCACCCAGACGACATCCTGTACCTCCAGCAACCTCACTTACTGTATCTCCTGCAGCAAATGCCCAGTTATCTACGCTGGGGAAACGAGAAGGAGACTGGGAGACTGCTTCAGAGGTCATGTTCGGGCTGTTAAGATGAAAGATTTCTCCAAGCTCATAGTTTCTCATTTCATCTCTGACGGCCATGATCACACTGGTCTCTCTGTCCCAGTTCTCACCTCCCACAGCAGAAAAACAACAGAAACTAAACTCATCCTGAAGCTAGGTTCACACCATCACCCTTCTCTCAATGACCGACTTACTTTCTCTATTTTCACACCTTCCTCCACCCTTCTGCACTTTGCACTTTGCACTTTGCACTTTGCACTTTGCACTTTGCACTTTGCACTTTGCACTTTGCACTTTGCACTTTGCACTTTGCACTTTGCA